CTAGAACATAAACAGAGGAGTCAAGGTAAGCAGGATATACTAATAAAAATATAGATCTCAACAACTCTTTGTGAGCACAAATTTACACCCGACGTGCAATTTTCTTCGCAGACCTTATCACAGCTCCAAAGCTCATTTTACAACCTGTCCAGAGGAAGATATTTTTTCCCCCCCCTTCACAAAGCAATGACTACTTCTATTTATAATTAGACTGGAAAATAGTCAAAGGGTTATCCAATATATTGCAAAAATGGTAGTGCAGTAACAAAGTTACAGGTCTTGAGGCCATATATAGCAATCACTACAGTCATGATATGATGTCTGCATCATGGGCTGCTTTCTATACTGGCTGTGGATTTATGGGAAACTGGCAATTATGACATATGTCCAGCTATTGCTAGCTTCAGATTTATCCCTGTGGTCCTTTTTTGTCTAGCATATTGCCTGAGCACAAACCAGGCAGGAGGAGCACTTAATCTTGCAAAGCTTTAATAATCTGTGAATGGCTGACTACAAACTGATGTAGAGCACTATCATTCTACAGCTGCAATCCACTAGCCTCATGAAATTGCAGGCCACAAATAGTAATTAATCTTTTTATCCCTCAAATTGTAATTTTGACTATGAACTGTGCTTGGTCATAAATCAGCAGCACATGCTGCTGTGTACAGTGCATGAATCATGATCCTGACTCAGTTAGACTGCACACATTGTGTTTAACAAGCTTTATAAGGAGTCATAGGGCTTTATTATAGCTCTGCCCGACTCAAACAAAAACTGAGCCTGGAGGCCCAAGGACTAGAGTTAAGATGAAAATACTTATTAGAGTATATTACTTCTTGATGTAGATATCGTTTTCAGCAGAGTAACTCCACGGTGCATGGCGCTACATAAATCAATGGGTTTTCTGAGACTAATAAGAACTGCCTCCATCTATTCATTACTCAGCCTGCAATTTAGGCCATCACTCATTAGTCAGCATGTAATTTGATGATTAACACTGTACAACTCAGCAGGTTTGCGGAGCGCGAGCGGACACAAAGGCTACGACTTCACTAGAGGAGAGTGGCTGAGGACCATTTGAAAATGTTATCCAAAATAATTGGCAGACATTATCATCAAGTGCTTCAATTATTTGTGTAAACACGCGCAGTACATCTTGTAATCAATGCAGGGAGGCTCACACGCGTGCACTCAATAACACGACAGAAAGTTGAAGACTGCAATATGATTTGACATTCCATCATGCATCCCGGAGACAAAGGTCCACATAGGAACGTGAAGTAAGACATTTTCTTGTTAATAAAGCATTGATCCGATGTATTGATTTTACATGACATGGCTTTTGCTGGGATTTTGCCCTCCTTTTTCTTTGCAAATAGTAAAGCTCTTCAAAATGCCTTGGCGTATGTGACATGGCAAAATTTCTAACTCTCTGTGATGTAAATTCTATATGTGTAAAACCACTTCATAATCAGACCATTAATCATCAGAAGCTGTCAGCATTGACTTTGGGGACAATTTGTCATGTCTTTGCCTGGGCCCATACAAGTGTGTCAAGCAAAAGCCTAGTGTGTTGGGACAGATGAGCCGCCGGTGTAGCCTCACAGAATGACTTGCTTAAAAAAGGATTAAATAAAGTATTACATTTCTTGATTAGAGAACAAAAAAAGTGGCACCCTGTGCATTTGTAACATGTCAAGGTTTCTCCTATTTTCTAGCTAATCACCATGACTGTTTGACTTAATGAATCTGGCCTGATGAAAGGTGATCAGAAAAGATAGATGGCCAACTCCTATTGATTTCATGCAAATGCAACTGACAGGTGATAGAAGCTTTAATGCGAGCTTTCAAAAGCTTTATGACTTGTAATAACCATACACTTCCATTCTAGGAAAGACCTCACCAAACGTTTCAGTTCAATTTATATCATCTTTGGAGAACCACAAGTATTGCACTGGGTACGACCCTACCTTTCCCCTCCAATTCCAGCCTAAATTCAACTTGGAAAGCCTCTCAAGCTCAAGCACAGAGGCAGGCCTAAGATCATTGTTCTACTTAAGGTTCTAATTATTGCATGTTATCTCCTAAGCCTGGATTTCTCCCCTTCTCAGGGTGGACCTCAGAAAGGAGCACAATGCAGTCACCCCAGATTTAAATCACGGGTGGCTTTTTGAACAGCTACTGTAACAATTTATATGCAGGAATTAGAAAAGATTGCCTATCTCTTTAAATTATGGGAGAAGTGACATGTATTCAAAATACTTGGAGCTTTTTGATAATTGGGCATCGGGTTATTCAATTTGCCTCTGTGCCTCAAAGAGCAGCTGGCAATATGCAGAACAGATTGACTAATAACAGGCTAAATCCACCTTGACTCCTGTCCCACTTCTATTCAAACTTCCTGCAGCTCTGGCCAGCAGCCCTGGGAGCAGCACAAAAATCTATCACCCCGCTGCTTGACAAAATGAGGAGAAGGAGAGACTCCACCAGCAAAATC